AAACAAACAAACAAACAAAAGAAAAGAACAATGACACACTGAAATTCGTAATTTTCTTTACTCAGCGACAAAATGCAGTGACCTGTCACCTCCTAAAGGGGGCGCAAAGGTTTGTGATGACTGGATAATGGGTTCGATCTGTTCACCTTCTTGTAACAAAAAGTGGGACTTTGCTCAGCCTTTGCTTTCGAGTGTGTGGGTTTGCGGAGCATCAGGAGCTTGGAAGCCAACAAATCGTTTTCCAGACTGTACAAGTGAGTAAATTATTGTTTGCATTCGTTTTCAATTTTTAAACTACAATAACAGAAATCACATAAAAGCCATTTACCAGGTCCTCTTCGTAATCGCTCATCTACATGTGTGGGGGACGTCTTTGTATGTGAAAAGCCGTCCACAGATGTAGCTGCTTTGACATTCTTCTGATTTTTGTTTTGACAATTTTCTCACATACTTTTTGGTTTGAATGATATTCAGCTCCTCGGTAACTTTGGATTGTTACTCTAAGTATATTCCTGCATGGGTTGAGACTTTTGTACTGGTTTATTTCATTTACGGAGGACCTAACGATGCAGTGGACTCCAAGATAGTGGATCCAATTAATGACGTCTTATACACAAAGAAGTTAAATCTCACGGAAGTAGGGCTCTCTGGGTGTGAAGCTCCCCGATTTACTTGAGTATTGAGCACTGATTTTAATCCAGTAGATATTTTCGCTTGCATGCAATTGGTGTTAACGCGTCGCGTGACTAAATATCCCTCGTCTAAAACTGAGGAATATCCGAGTGATATTCCCTAATTTTCATTGGATCTCGTGTATCGCAAAAAATAAATATATATTGAAGGATAATAAACACAGTATCCTCCATTTGACTCCAAAAATTATCCCTGCATATTATTTTTTCCCTATACATTATCTTCTCCTCGTGGCTCGCAGATTTCTTCGAGTTTCGCTCTCGGACAAATGTTCGCTTCTAATAACGTCCGAGGGCAGATATCCGGGCATATTTTCGCGCCAAATGGTTGCTTACAAAACATGAAAAAATGTGCTCATTGTACTTATTAGTTCAGTAATTGACATGAAATAGAAAGCAGACAAAAATACGAAAAACGTTAAATTTGTTTAGTTTTCTCCTGTCAATATTTATCAAGCCATAAATTCGGTCAGGATGGAGGTGATTTCCAGGTTATCAGTTAAAATTGCAGTCTCTCAACAGTAAGTTTCCAAATCTAGGATCTCAACCATCAGTTAAAAAACTGGTCATTTTGTTCAACTGACTTTCACAAATTTGGACCCATGTATTCTCTGCGATCAGTTAAGCCCCACTCAGACCCGCTGATAATGTAAGGAAGAAAACTAACTTTTTTTTGTCCATTAAACCTTTTGTAGAAATATATCACGCTTACGCTGTCAAGACGGAAATGGATTTGAACTACTACTATGGCAATTGTACTACACCAGAAGTTCAGGCACAAATAAAACAGAACTTTATCCAGCTTTTGAACGAGACTTTCTTCAACGAGGTCTGTCACTCCGCACTTAAAGACAAGTGCAAGGCTGAAAATGTGGAGGTCAAGTGCTCTGGGGTCGGTTTGGTCCCCAGTAAGCGAAAACGTTCAGGAGGTATGGCGAAGTAGCATAACGTTTGAAGAATCCAGAGACATTTCTGAGTGTAGCAACACGAGCCTTATAGGCGAGTGTTTCCACAGCTTTCTAAAAATGTTTTCCCCAAACTTTCGCGAGTGTTTGCATGACTCGATCTTAAAACCAGGAAATGTTTCCATTTCTCCTAGAAAACACTAAAAGGAAAAAAAGCACACTCTCTTTGCTTGCTTCACCTTTACGTCGACAGCTTGTGCTAGTACTGTTGTTCTATCAAGCTAGAGAAGTACAGCATTGAACGTGCGCTTTTTTTACAGCGTGCTTTCAAATAGATCCCAACCTTGTACATAATAGATTTGGAAGTATTCTAACCTTTGTTGCCTTTAGAAGTTTGGCTGACAGCCAGACAGCTAGACAGACAACCATATTTTCTGTCCATTTCTTACTGCCTTGTAGACTTACAGGCACATATTTACAATCACACTGATGTAAAGTAGAGTGTTATCCAGGGTCCGTCCTCAGTATAGTTACCAGCAGATCCTAAGCTTTGTTATTTGAATTGCTCGAGTTTTTAGTCTGATGACGCCTTAAATTTTATTTTCCAGACGATGACGGTTGTCATAGCAGCACTGGAGGATCAATTCTACGAACCAAAATTACTCTAAATATCGTCGGTAGGTTAATAATATTACTTTAAGGATTAACATTTTGGAAAAAACAAAAAAACAAAAACAAAAACAAAAACAAAAAAAGAACACATTGGCTTTTAATTTAAGGGCTGCTTGTGACTCTTATGGTGAATGTTTTATCTGCATAACTTGCAGTATAGCGTGTTACATGTAAAGAAAGAAGAAGAAGAAGAAGAAGAAGAAGAAGAAAAGACTTGTCTTTGTCCTAAAACTATAGTCACGAAATTCCACTTTTTGAACCACGCTGCCTAAGTCTCTTACCTGTATTTTCCCTCATTTGCGAAGTCACATAACTCGTCACTAAATTTTCGCTTTACTTAGCATGAAGGGAATAAAGGTATTTGGATACTAGTCTACTTAGTTGTTATCCACCAGCAGGTTGTCCTCATCTGCCCTTAGGCGCACCACGCTCTTGGTAGAACGAAGAAGTTTGAGGGAATGCTTCAGCCCAACAGCATTCATCAGGGACCAAGTCACGATAGGAAACCTTCCTTCCTAGTTCCAACATATTTACCATAAGGCAACGATATAGGAAAAGGGATACGAAGTCAAAGACCCCTAATAATCACTGAATGTGACGACGTATTATCATCGGCGTGTCAGTGAAATAATGAAAATCCTTTTTTGCTTTACTTTTATAGTCGACCTCAATGGCATTGACGCAAATGACACTAAAGAAGGCCATATTATCATTGGTGAAAAGGGCGTGAAAATTGCCAAAAAGATCAGCAGTCGGATAAAAGCTGCAGTTGACAACGGCAATCTCAGTCTGACCATCAATGGCACTGAGTTCGTAACTGATAAATATTCATTCAACATCTTAGAACCTAAACAACTTTGTACCAAGGGACAAACATTTAAAGAAGGATACTGCCGTAAGTATGTTTTTCAGATTTATTTTTTATTTGATGGCGGTTTCATGTTAAAAACCCACATATAGGAACAATTAGACACTGCACCAAGACATTTCATGCTAGGTAGTTACGCCTACAGCAGTAACATTTTTATACCACACGTTTTAAACTAAAACCTGGTATAACATTTTTGGGTGCTTTACTGCCATATAAACTTCTTTACTGTATCTTTGTCTTTGTGATCTATAGTAAATTGTACAAGTGGGACCTTCTTAAATTATTTAACTGGAAAGTGCGAGGATTGTCCGATCGGATCATACCAAGAGTTCAGTGCACAGGAAGAGTGTTTGATGTGTCCATCGGGTACTTCAGCTATGCAGACGAGAACAGAGAACAGTTCCAGCTGTTTAGGTAACTAAGCCTGACGAAGTAATGTGCCTCAGATTTACTGTAACTTAAAACTTAATTGGTATTCCAGAACTTATAAACAAACTATCAGATAAAATAAACCTTCAACCCTGGCTACATAGCAAAACACAATTATTTATTCTACAACAAATTGCCAAATCAAAACTAGACACACTTCGTTAAGATGATAATTTTAAAAAATCGCACCTTGCGTTTCCTCTTCTCCATATCAGTATTTTCAACAAATCTTTAATTAAGCAAAATTCTATAAGCAGCATGTTTCAAAGACGGAGGGGAGTCCGAATCACAGTGAAAGAGTTCCTTCTTTTAAAAATTTATGGCACCTTTAAAGAAAAAGGCATTTTAAATAAGTGGGAGGAGGGAGGGGGGGGGGGGG